AGCATGAGCACCTCCTCCGTTTTTAGCCCTAGCGGCTCACTGTCCCCTCACCTGCAGCATGCCCCATCTGAGCCTGGCAGGCTCCCTTTCTCCATCAGGGGCTTTGGCAATGGCACTGGTAAACTTGCAGCAAAGCTCTCTGTGCCAACCCCACACTCCCTCCTCTCCAGCCCCCATGCCCCAGGCCAATTCCTCCTGTACAACTGACCAAAACTCTGATCTTCTCATAACCCTGCACAAGAACCCGAGGGGGTCCCCACTGCTGGACAGGAGGATGCAAGCTTGCTCTGGATGCAAGCCAAGTTTGAACTTTACTCTGGAGGTGATGGGGAGGCCCAGGAGATCCTGAGACAGGACAGTTCTTTCCTGCCAATGGCACTAGGGTCTCTGTCTTCCCCACACTGGCATCATTCCTCACTCCTTCCCTCAAGAGGTCTAGAGCATTTAGCAGGAGCCTAGCATGTGTTCAATAAAGGCTTTGAACGTGCTATCTTCTCTTTCTAGAACCTACTCACGTCCCTGCCCCATCCCCAGGCTGGATTTATTATTCAGATCTCAGCTCACAGCTCTTCCCCAGCCTGTCAGACCACCAAATCTAACTCTCAACATCCCCCCTGCCCAGTCACTCACTATCATTTCACCCTATTCCACTTCCTTCATAAATGTAGGAATATCTGAAATTATCTTTTCTGTCTGATGTTGCTCACCTTCACAGACTACAAGTCACTTGAGAGTTACTCTCTAGCAGGGAGCTGACACCCAGTTGTGAAATAAAACAGTTCCAATTGTCCATTTGCTTGTCACTCTTGCTTGCCTTGTATGGCACCCTGTGCACAGCAGTGTCTGCCCATTCTACGTTCTCACTCCTCCAGCTCCACAGATGGAGGCTCGGGCCCACCTCCTGTGTTTGCCCAGCCCAGGGCACTGCCTAGACTGCCCTCTTCTCTGCCAATCACCCTAGTTCAAGGCCAACTCCCACCAGTCTCGTGCCCCTGTAGCTCCTGCTGACACTGTATTTCGGATGTGTTACTAGATAGTACCCACCCCTGTCCTTGCTCTCCAAAGCAGAGCCCAGATGAGGCCCCAGTCTGTACCCAGCAGCCCGAGCAGAAAGTTGTGGCCCAACTAGGCAGGGAGGAAGGCCTCCTTACTTGGGGATGCTGGTCAAGTTCCTACCCCCCCCATAGAGCCAGAGAGAGGAGGAGGACAGGGACAGGTAGGGGGTGTTGGGAACTATAGGGAGACTGGGGAGAATTAGGGTGACAACCCATCATTAAACCCAGAAGATCTGGCTGATGCCACTTGACCCAGCAGTTTGTGGCTCCTGCCTCAGGGTGCTGAGGATCCCAAATCAACTTACATCCTGGTAACAGCCTTGCAATTAGCCCAGAGAGAAGGGAACTCAAGCTGGGCAGTCTGACCGGGGACCAAAGCAGGGAAAAGACAGCCTGGGCGGGCAAGCGAACTCCAGCTCTGAAGCCAGGCCTCACCCTCATAACTGCCTCCCACGACTCAGTGACCCCTGACCTCTTGGTTCCCAGAGAAGAATGGGGCGAAGGTATGGCCAGGCCGAAGAAAGAAGCTTCCACTACCCCAGCACCCAGAGACACCAGGAAAACTCAGTCTGTCCACAAGGGTGCTGACTGCATCCCTCAGGATGGGCAGGAAGAAAGGTCAGCAAACAGGGAGCTGTGAGAATCCCCACCTGGGCATCTGAAACAAAGTGATGCTCCTCCAGCCATGCCCCTAGAAGGTCAACTCGGAAATGGTGGGGGGCTGGGGGAAGGCAAAAGTCAACCCAGCTCTGTCTTGTCTAGCCGTGTGAATTGGGGCAAGCGATGCCACCCCATCTCCTGAACATCTACTTCCTCATCTATCCCATGGAAAAGGCCTGAGCTCAGCTGGTGGTGAGCAATCAGTGAGCTCACCCAACACACCAGTAAGCTTAGCACCGGGCCTAGTCCAGGACGAGTACCCCAGAGGCAGCGCTCTGAGTAGCCTCAAGAGGCTGAGTTGGAGTGTGGGTACCTGATTTGATTCCCTTATCTCCGACCTGCCTTTGTTCCGTCAGAAGTTTCTAAGACACAACTAACAGAGCTGTATTTACTCAGCTCCCCAATTCTTCACCTCTGGGGAAGGAGCACACAGAACTCAGGCTCAGGGAGCTGGTGCCTGGGAGGCCACTGTATAAGATGGTGGCCATGAAGACGGTTCTGGGTCCCATCCCCTAGACTTGAGCCTCAAGGCTCTGGTCACAAAAGTGGGGGTAGAAACCAGGACCCTAAAATATCCAGGTAATGTCTGCTGGGCTGCTTTCCTGCAGATATACAGGGTAGGTGATGGCCACCTCCGTGATAAACAAGATGCCTGGGATAGGTGTTCCAGGCTGTTTCCCAAGCTGCCTACACTAACGCCAACCGGGCTGGCCGGTGCCTCAGAACAGCCAGTAGAGGCCTGCCCAAGGGGTAGGAGAAAACCCAGAGGCTTCAGGGATGGGGTGTGGGAAAGAAGAGCCCTCCCTAGGTTTGGCTTTGAGCTAACACCCGACAGTGGCCACACCTTGGCATGTGCCTTCTGATCAGTCTTTCCTGACCTGCTCCCACACTCCCACCAGCCTGGCCCAAAGTCTCTACCTCCCCCCAGTCCCCAGCCTCCTACTGTAGTCCCTCACCCTACCTGATCTCCCCCAGATCTAGCCTCTGCCCCACCTCTCTGAGCCCTGACCTCATGTGACCCCTGCAAACATATCTAGGATCTCCTATCCTCCCCCACCCGAACTAACTCCGCCCACACCCACCCTACCCCACTTCCTCAGCCGCCCCCAGGCCTGTAACTTGACCCACCTCCTCAGCGCCCGGACCATACCTGCAAGACCGGCCCCCCGCCACTTCATGCCGTTTCCCTCCGGCGGCGCCGCTCTCTCCTCTTCCCCCGCGCTCGGCCGGCGGAGGGCGCCACTCCTCTTTCTCCCCTCGGGCCTCCCCGAGCGCCTCCTCACTTTTTCTCCTCAGGCCCTCCAAATTCCTCCCGGCACCTGCCCAGGCCCGGCCTCGCCCACCTTCCTTGCCCGGAGGGGGTGGTGGGGTCCAGGTCAGATCCCGCCGCCCCCAGGCCCCGCGGCCCGGCCTGGGCTAGACGCTCAAGGCTGCCGCGGTGGCCAGGCCTCTACGCACTCGCTAGCCCGGGCACGGGGAAAGCTGTGAGCTTCGGAGGAGGAAGCCCCCCAGCCCTCTGCCCTCAGCCTTCGGACACCCTCCGGCCACCCCGGGGCCTGAGATGAGCCCCCTCACCTGCGCCGCGGCCGCGCTCCGGGGGCTCCCGGCGG